GTCCAGGATAATCAAGTGAGGCAACCAACAATCCAGTACCCACCTGTGAATGCTAGACCTCAAAGTCCTCCAGTGGCATTTGTCCAGGGAAATGAATTTGACCGTTCATCTAGATATGCCTCTCCACAAAATGGGCCCTCCCCTCAACGTCCAGTGACGCGTCAACGTTCTAAAGGATGGCTGGACTTTGTTTTTTCCAATTCTTTCGAAGATGAGGACTTCGACAACATGGACTTTCAGCCAGACAACTCTGTAATGGACATGGAGACTGAGACGATCTGGGTCCCTGCGATTGCTGAAGAACCACTCCCTCTTCCCCAAAAACCCAAAACTTATATTGTTCACTCTAAAAATGGCTACAAACGTGGAAGGGTTGTCCACACCAAAACCTTCTACTCTAATGATTACAAAAAGCCAAAAATTATTGAGAAGGTCAAGAGCTCCAAGCAGAAATTTTAAGACTATGCCAGGGTATGTCCACATGGTACCTAAAATTCTAGTGGTTGTAGGAAAATCCCCTAATGGTTCTGTGTGCTAGTTGTGAAATGCTTCTGTCCATAAAGTTGTACTATCTGCAGAATGTTCTGCCTTGAGGGGGGGATGCCCTTTTGTAAGAAATAAACTTGTTTTATAAAGTTGAGTATCTTTGTTTGTGCTTCCTATAAACATTTTAAAATGTTGACCTATACTTAACTTTTTATTTTTATATTTTCCTGTATCAACATGCGTATGCAGCTTTAAAACAAACTAGAATAGTCATTTCTGAAATTGACCTTTCTACAAAGGTTGCTAAATCCTAACGCATGCCTGATTCTGAGGGGAAAAGTGTAAAAGTACACTGTCAACATCTTGCAAGATGCAAACCATTTTGGGGTTAAGTTCATGGCTAGTGACATTATTTAATAAAAAAAAAAAAAAAAAATTGTAACTGAAGCTTTATGAATCGACTGCTATGGCATTTTGAAACCTTTAAACTATTCAATGTTTCTCTGACCAACCTTAACTTGTATGGGGCAAGCTGTCAAAACAGTTTATTCTAAAACCAAGTTTTCCATGGGGAAAACTGAATTCCTCAAGATTTTAAACTCTAGACAATTTGTTATTCCAATTTTTGCTGGCACACTTCTAGAAGCTGTCATCTATAAAATTGGATGACATGAAGTTAACTGTTCATGGCTGACTTTTTTTTTTTTTTAATGGAGATTTCTTCTTACGGAGGTGACTCAACCTCCCAGATATTTGAATGTGACAGAGCAAAGATTGCTTCAAAGTACATGGCAAGTATAAGTTTCTGGTGTATGAACCATTGTAACTGATCTCTCCATGCCATTTAATTTTATTTTTGTCTTGGATATTTTCGATATAGATGTGAACAATAGTGTTCTTACAAAATTGTTTGTGTGGGCTCCAAGATTACAAATTGCAGAGACTGAGATGCTTCGTGACTCCCCGCTTGTTTCATCGCCCACAATGGTCCTTTCCTGATTCTTTCCCCCTTGTTGCATGCTGCTCTGTTGAGCATGCATCGGGATATGCTGCTCTGTTGAGCATGCATCAGGATATGCTGCTCTATTGAGCATGGATCAGGATACGCTGCTCT